GTATTGGCCAGCTCAGATGTGGTTCCCCCTGCTTCAGCCCTTTTTAAAGCTACAGCCCCTGCCCTTATCTCTGTTCTGATTGCTCCTCTGACAAACATGATTGGGCATTTTTCATCTTAACATCATCACACTCCAGCTTCACGTGTGACTTTTGTCTGGTCCCGTGCCATCAGAGGCATTGGTTATTTCAGACTTGTCTATTGGCCATGGCTTCTGACCATCTTGTCCTTCTGTTCCTTACTTGTCCTAGTTCTTCATTTAGTTGTTTGTTCAGGGTTTGTCTGTTTCAACTGTTGCTCTTTATAGGGCCACTATGTTGAACACCTTCCTTCCTTACACTTGTGGAATGCCTTTTCTTCCCCAGTTATTTCCATCCTTTCTTGTTCCTTTCATCTGGTCTATCCTCTGTGTTCCTTTATTCTTCTGGATTGAGATCTCAATGTTGTTTTCATGCCCTGTCTGGTACTCCCTTTCAACCCATTGTAGTGTGTTCCTTGTACCATTTTCTCTTTAAGACCTATTTCCTCCCCCTTTGGGCATGAGGGCATTATCGTTCTTGTATTTATGCCATTAATATTTCCTGCATCCTTTACCATTCCTCGTATGTTATCCACTACCAAGATCAGGCCTTCCTTCAGATCATTGGCTGCCTGGGAAGTTTGTTGGGCTTTTTCTCCTATTTTTTTACCTTCCTTTTCCCACCTATTCCCCCATTTGGATCTGAATCATCTACTTTGTTCAGTTCATTACCTGCTATGTTATATTGATTGTACTGCCTCCTTTCGTGGTTCTCCTTCCTGTGTATTTTTCCATGGAATTCCTCTGTTTCCCAGGATTTTTCACCTCTTCTGCTTACTGATTGAGTTTGTCAACTCATACAACTGGTGCATTCTGACATGACTATGGATGGTTGCCATCTACATCAAGTTTTTTCACACCAAATTTGTCATCTAACTATGTCTTTAGCTGCTCGCAACCTCTGTCTTTTGGAGGAAATCATTCAGGCTGGTATGTGGACAACTCGCAATGCATTTTTCACTCCTTATCTGAACAACATAGCTGTGTCTTCCTCGAGCAGATATTGTCTTCCTCTTGTGACAATTCTACACACATCCGTTCACCTTTGCCTGGAGTAAGTCGACATATTATTCTTTTTTTTATTTTTTACTTACTTTGTTGCTTTACATCATATTTCAGGATCCCATATGGTGACAGGTGTTACCTGGTCAGATATGATGAATATTATATCATGGCACTAAATCTGTATACTTCTATAATGCTCACTATGGAGATGGGGTGTTTCTGTAAGACTACTGGCTGCTTATTTGGGAAGGGTGTATATATCTCTATCTGTATGTTTTTTTTATTATCACTGTATCATATATAAAGGACTGTCACTCATGAACTTCATGAGTAAAGCAGATGGGGATTTTTGCCCATCCCTAACTGACCCTTGATTCTTGCAATCAGGGTCTTTCTGCTTTTCAAAATAGGGAATCGCAGACATCCATTGCACTATCTCCAGTGTGTTGTTCCTCTGGACTCCCCAGCATGTATTCCCCCACCAAAGCATGGGCATCCTTGCCACTTCTGCTACTCAGACACTGGAGTGATGGACCGTGAAGGAGTGGGTTTTGTAGGATAAAACAAACTTCGTAGTCATATCTACCCACTCTGTGAGAAGAGGGCTATCGTCTTTATATTTATTATTATACAATATCATAATATGCTCAATCCAAGATGCTTTGCCTGGATGTTTTTGCCTGGGTTGATCGTACTTGTTAATCACAAAATAATTTTTTTCATGCAAGGCACTTCAACTGGATATTTTCTGCCCAGATGGACTGCACTTGACATACTCAGTAATATCACAAGGAGCTTACCTTGGATGTTTTTGCCTGGGCAGACCACACTTGTTGATTTCTAAATAACTTAAGTAAAAGATATGAAACAATTTTATGCACTCAAAGTGTATTTCTGATATGTACTTACCTCTTCTCACCCACTTCCCGCCCTTCCTCCTCACTGATTTACTGGTGTTTCTGGTTTGTATCTGCTATTTCATGAAAGTGAGGATTATGCTGCAATGGTAGAGGAAACTACCTGTGCTAGTATAAGTGGCACACTATGATTGGTGGAGGGTAATCACATTATCAGCATGTGTTGCTGCAATGGTGCAAAAACAAAGGGGTATAAAAGACTGGTGTGCTGTTGAAAATTTTAGCAATGCTTAGAGGGAAAATCAAGGTTGAGATGAGGTAAATTTTTCATTGATAGAAAATCTTAACTTTCTATACTGAATATTGGATATTGTAAACATAAGAGTGTGATCACAGTTGATCTTAATTTTAATACATTTTTGTGAGTGCTGTACTGATATCTCTTTGAATGGTTTCAGATGTGAAGAAATATGCTAAATGACTTTATATGTACTTTTCTATTTCAGCCTATCCTGGGTAATGTTGTGTAAAATGTCTTGTCTGTTCTGTAAATCCAAATACATTGTGAGGATGTATGAAAACGATATTAAAAACAGTTTCCAAATCATCCCCTTGTGTTGGATAGATTGTACTGTATCTAATTATGTGAATTTGATATTTAATGTGGTTAATTACCAAGCTGAAAAACTACCCTGAAAATTATTAAAATATATACCTACATGCATGCTTAAGCACATTCTTATCAACTTGGATATGAACTTTATATCTCAGATTACACTAGGTTGGGATTATAAACAGTTATTAAGTCAAAGAAGTGAGTATTGAACTATATTACATCAATAAAAAGTGTCTATCTATCTATATATATATATATACATATATTAACAGTACCAGAATAACGATTATAAAAAAAGAAACAAAAAATATGATAACATAGTTACTTATTCAAATAGAAACATGTATTAGTTAACTCCAAAATTAAATTTGTACAGCCATCCATATGTTCCAGCTATTGTTTTCTGTTTATACATCACAATGTGGTTTTTATTAAATATTTTTGTTTTGCTTGAGTTTGAAATTGGATGGTTTTTTTCATATTATCATTTTATTATTTTGAAATAAGGTGACATTTAAATATATTATTTATTTGTCATTTGGATATTATTAACTGGGATTAATGTTTTTATGTCTGATATGTTTAACCTATTAATAGGTATTGCCTGAGGACATGGAAACAGACCGAGAAGTGCTTAACACAGCAGGAGAACCATTGGAAAGAAGACTAGATGTACTATCATGGATTATTGAACATGATGGTGAAAAACAGGAAGTGGGCACTCTTCCACTGGAAGATGCTCTGCCAAACTTTGCTATGTATGCCAAAGTAGATCACTCTAAAAAAAAATCAAATATAACTAATTTAACATTTTCACAGTATAACATCGTAGAAAATCCACAATATTTTACTCCAACTGATGAACTTGATCAAGTTATTGCAAGAATGTGTGATGTGGAGGTTGATCAAGATGCTAGAATCCAACCAAGTATTTCTGTATGCACTAAAGAACCTGGACATGCGCAAAAGCTTCAGTCAGAACAGAAAATAAAGCCTATTCCTCTTCCTCGGCAGAAAATTGGACCTCTGAATAAAGAGGAAGGATCTCCTACTAGTCCTTTGAATTGGTCCACTAACACTCCAGGAATACATGACCTAGCCTTAACAATTCCTGAGACACCGAACAACACAAATAAACTCTTCAATGAGAAAAGTTGTGGTGTAGAAGGTGACAGGAGAAAGAGAGTATCTGCAGATAACGAACTTCATGACTATGCAGAAATTTACACTCCCAGTAATGAACTTCCTTATTTGGCTACTGGAGATGCAGTAGAAGAAGGTGATCCCCCAAGTCCTCCAAAACATCAAGTTCCACCATGGGTGAGTTATATTTAATAGTAATGTGTAATATTCTTTGTGTTATAGGAACAAAGAAATTAAGATTCTTCTGGCTTTTGATAATAAGTAAGGATGATATATAATAAATCTATTATTGTAATGTGTGTATTCCTGATAAGCACAAGATGAATAAGACAAATACCAGTGAGTGAGAACAACAACTTTCTTTAAAAACAAAATTTACTTTATTTACCCAAAATATGCTGTATCACTTATTGCATTGTGTGGTTTCTATGTTGATAATCTAGTGGTTTTCTACAAAATATAGTATTTTTTAAAGTCAACAGAGTTTGTAATAGTCAGGAAAGAAACTAATTGTTGATCCTTCAGTTAAACAATCACTGTTTATCTATGTGATGCTAGAGTGAAATGCTTCCAAATGATCCTTGCTTTAGGAGTAGATTCCAAACAACAGATTCTACTTTAACAGTTAGAACCTAGACCTAACTGTCCTATTGATTTATGAGAAAGCTAGCTAACTTATGCTAAATCACAAAAGCCAATCAATAAAAAATCATGAGTTTGGAAAATTTTTCCAGATTTACATTGTTCCCTAGATGTTTAACTCAGAGGAACACACATCCTTCCCCAGTGAAATTCAACTTCAAAGTTGTAGACAAATTCACCCAGACTCACTTTATCTTGATGTTATGAATACAATAATGCATGTATGTGATAATTGAACTAAACTGCGGCCAGGGAATAGTGTTTTGTTAAATATTTCATATTAAGATTGGGAAAACCATTTTGATTTCAGCATTTTTATAACTTATTTTTCATTTTCTGCTTGCAATAAATATAAAAATTCTACTTCAACCCTGGTATTACCAGTGCAGTCTAACCTTGTAAATGAGAACATTTTTAAAAACTATTTATACAACAAATTCCATGTGGTTCCATGATTTTGTTGGTCACACAAAACAAAACAAATCATCAATATTGCAGTTAATCTAACTTATTATAGTTGGGGGTCTCCTGTGTATTTTACACAGAAAATGAGTGATATCACCCAGTTTTTTATTATTTCTTTACATATTGTTGGTACAGATAAACCATACAATTGCTCAATCCAGTGCAATGTGGTATGTGTTAACAGCACTGGATGTGCTAATTTATTTATCAATATTCAATTCATTGATTAGTGTATATAGTGTTCCTCAAACCAAAAAAAAAAAGTTGGTGGCAAGTGTTGCAAGCCATTTTCCTTCCTTCTAGTCAAAAAAGAAAAAAAAAAACTGATGGTGGGTGCAACCGACTAGTTGCCTTTCCTCTAGTCAGCAGTTCAGAAGGAGAAAAAAGAGGGCAGCTGTTGATGCTAGCCAGTAGTAGCTTTGGAATAACAAAGACAGAGAAAGCAAGTTGATGGCAATGAGAATTGAACCAAAGACCTTCAAATCATGAGCTATCTCCCCTAAAGTGACCAAAGCTGAACAAACTTTAAGTAAAAAAGAAAAAAAATGAAACAATAATTTATAAGGCTAAAACTAGGTAAAATACAGATAACCCATTACATAGCTTTGTGATTAACAACAAACATAACAGCAACATTTTGATTACTTGGACAATTGGTATAATAAAAGACAGTTATAATTGGAAACACTAATATCAACTATTTGATCATTTTCATGACAATCACTTTAAGTATAATTCTGATAAATCAATGTAATCACTGCTCATAGAGTCTTGATTAAATCACCAAGGTCCATGGTCACCCACAGAAATATTTTCGGGGGGGGGGGTCAAACATGTATCTAGGGGATCAGCTTTTACAGTGTAAGTCAACAGACTAAAAGAATATCTATTATGTATGTTTAAATACAAACACAAATTTAGAGTTTTAATAACAATTTCTAAAAATATTTAGTTAAACTTTGATGTTAAGTTTACATCATAATTTGTGTAGGTTTTTGCCCCTTCCTGCGGGCACGCATGCCTAGGTCTAACTTTTAGTGAACAGTATATAAAAGCAAGTTGATAATTTGAGGATCAAAATAAAACATATTTGGTAATTTTTATCTTTGTGTTTGATATATAGATTAAATTATTTAGCATCTTTAATTATTATCAAAAAAAAGAACATTAATATCTTAAATAAATTATCTTTCAACTACTAATATATTTGATAAAAAGAAAACTCATAATAATTACCTTAAAACCACTCATTTACAGTTTTTTAAGTTTTTTTACATGCAACTTTGAAGATTTTATCTAAAGAATGAATTATTGAAGTCAAATTATTTTAATGTGTTTGCTAAAGGTTTTCTGTTAGTATTTTGTAACATACCCTTGTGTTACTACCTTTTTTTAACATTAAATGTGTTATACATATGTTATGTGCTTTGTATCACTTTTCCCTTTCTAAAAGGCTTTTGATGAAGTTCATGATTCTATCATCTCTTTATATTTCCCTTACTTTTAATCTATAGCTCTATTTATTTGGTCAAATAATAATTCTAGACTAGACTTCTTTGTTACATTAATATTTGTTTCAAAAATTCATAATGTTTCATATTTACTACACTTGCTGCATTATTTATATGGAACCTCTATGTGTACACTAATACACACCTTTTATTTTTGGTTAAGTAACTATTGCTATTGTTTCAATTGTACATTGGAATTTCTGAAGAAATGTGGAAAATGAAACATTTTAAGAAATCAAAGGAAGGTTGATAAGGAAATATACTTTTATGTCATCTTTTAATTACTTTTATACAAAACTTTTCTTTGTACTTACAACATTTTCAAGAAACCACATCACTGATGTTAGTCTATGTTATGCTTATTTGATCATTGACTGTAATGAATATTTTATAGAGGTCTGAATGTTAGTAAAAGGTAATGTTTTTTAAAGTTTAAAAAATAAGTTATGGGTTTATGTTTAAATTTGTCTTGTAATATGTTATGTATTCATGACAGGTCATAGAACCTAAATCATTCTGTAGATTTACTTAGCATTCATCAACACTAAAAGGGATTAACAAACACAAGGCATAATGTGAATTAATACTTGTTAATATTCCAATAATCTGAAAGACTAAACATATCTTTTTTGTGAAAAAATCAATATTTTGATAATTGTGAGACACAAATTTAGCCTGCTCATTGTCGTACATATTTCAATGTACTAATAGTCTGATAATGAAATAATTTAAGAGATGCAAATCAACCTTTCACTCTTATGGATATGTCTCTATACCTTGGTAATCAAATAAGAAATGAATGTATTCCAGCACAATAATAAGTGAAAATTAGTATAGTAATAGAAAAATGTTAATTTTAGGAATTTTCATGATCCTCTGTTCCCACCAAAGAAAAATTCATATTGTACTACAGTTTCGTGATCAATGCTTAACATTTCAGAAAATACCATAGATACTGTTTTTCAAATGATTTGTGCCACTCAGTTCACTGTATTACAGTGAGTATGAGGTCTTCCTTTCAGCACAGAGTAGATTTGACTCTTGCCAGTTTGTTTGTTGGAAATGTGTATAATTAAAGGAGGTATTATGTTCAGCAAAAATTTGGGATCTTAGTGTTTCATTATTATTGTATATATCAATGTTGTTCAAAGTATATTTTCCATAACTATAGCTGAACTTTAACATTTCTTCACACATAGTATCTCTTTATAGTAATTGACATTTGATTAGTTTTTTATATTCAGCTTTCTTTACAAAATAATCACAATTTTACATTACAAGAACACTGATTCACATTTACACCATCAGTATGCTTTCCAAAGTTTATTGAATGACCTGTTTTATCGGGATTCTTAGTTAAAATGGGATTGGATCATATTTTATCTTGAAAATAGTTTGGATTCATTCTGGTATAGACCTTACAAGATAATAGAAGGTGTCATGTTTGATTATAGTTAACTTATCAAGGAGTATGGTCTACCGTTCACAGATGTTAACAAAGAATTACAATGACAAATATGAGGATCATGTCAGTGGTGCCCAAATGAATTGAAATTCAATTATTTTTTATGGCCAAGGAAGATAAATGAAGATACTGTTGTGCTCTTTCAATTGATTTTGACCAGTGGATTATTGTTTTGGAAGAACACTGCTTAGTAGGGTAGATATGCAATATAGTGGGTTGAACATGGTTAGAAATAATATTGAAGCACACTGTGGTTGTTATTTTACCCTTCTAAATAAATCAAACAAGACAAGCAGAGTCAAGTTTTACATGTAGTTTTTTTCCATGTTTTTATTCTATTATCAGTACATAAAAGGTGAAATGCAACTTATCCACTTGTACACTTCTAGTGATTCTTTGTCTACAGTTTATGATGTATGCACAAATGAAGTTTTGATTTTCTGTTTGCATATGAGATGAGGAGTTTAAGAATGGTTGTAGGCTGCCATGTAACAGTTTTTGCATTGTTTTTTCATAGTAAAATTGAAGATAGCCAATCTGACCACTGTTGAAGAAATTGGTCGATTAGAACATTATAACATCTGCTATAATGAATTCATTTGTATCAGTTACTCACTGGCAGTTGGTGCCCAGTTTTTCTTAATTGCAGATGTATTTCTTTTTCATTACTACTATTAATAAGCTGTGATGCTAGATATTTATAAATAACTGGTCAAAGAAAACACTTATTGTTAACAATTCTTCTACAAGATAGAATACCTACTATCATTACCATTTTGAAAGATATGAAGATCCTTGCTCTTACCAATTTCCTTGCAGATTAATAATAATATGAGAGTCTACATTCATTGGGCTCAATCTGACTCATCACACTTTCAGTTCTCCTTTAGATATGCGGATGAAAAGTATTCTATAAATGTGTACATTGGTCTTCTAATAAAATGGCCAGTTAGTGTAGGTGTATAAGCACATAACACATTATCAACAGGTGTCACTTAATGCACCAGTAGATTTTCAACCTGCATTAGCTCTAGATAATATTACATATAATCACATGACACATTAATGAGCAGGTATTCATCTCACTAGTAGATGTACTTGTGTCATAGGAAACTATATAATACATTCACCAGATGATGTACTTTGTGGTAATTCAAGGTTATATCTGCATACAGCTATATAAGCTCCACAAAAAGTATATGATTGTGAGTCTAACTTGTAGAGAAAAATTTACAGTGACTTGTAACAGGTGGAATAAAAGAGAAAGACAGTGTTGAAATCAAAATAAAAAAAAACGGAGCCCTTTATTTACAACATTAAACAATCCACTCAAAAAGCTGTGTATCAGAACTTTTAGTTAAAATATATAGTGGATTCTCTCTCCTTACAAAAACAACAGCAATTCTTTATCTGTTAACTGACCCTGCAGTAGATTTAGATATTCTTATTTATTTACAGAGGCTTAAGTGTGTTATATTAAAACAATTTTGAATATGCAAATCAGCATGTTACATGACAATCACAACTAATATACAGTCATGGAGGAATGGAATGTGTCAGAACTAAATTTTGACATTGTTTGGTATTTTGTAGGTAATGTGGTGCTACCAAAAATTGATCACTTTTGAGAAGGGTATGTAACAACCCTTTCTGATAAAAATATATTCATACCCTCAGATCATAAAGATGTGTTCTGATTGAGGACTTGGAAGAAGATAGGGATATTCTTTGTACATAATAACATCAGAAAATAAAGGCATGTGGATCATCATGGGAAACCAGGATTGTCCAGAAAGAGATTTGCAACAAGTTTATAGTAATCAGATTTCCAAACTGAAAAACTGAGTACAGCCCTTAATTTTAAAATGGCTATTACAAATTTGAGATAACTTCTACTTAATATATTTTAAATTTATTGAACTGCTCTACAATATTTCCAAACATATTAACATTGCATTGAAATAACTTCAACTACTTTTTTGGAGATAGACACAAAAAATGAGCACAAATATTAAAATTATACATCCAAGAAATGTTTAATTATTCACTTTATCCAATTCATCTTAAGACCTGGCACCACGAAAAACTCAGTCTTGGTATGGCTGCACTTTTTTTTTTTATTATTGATTTAACAACTGACTAAACTGACTGAAGATGAGCACAACTTTAACTATCTTTATATTCAGACCTGGGTTTCTCACCATTCACAGACAGAACTTTCAAGAGAGTTTGGAGGCAGGATAGTACATATTACAACAAAGAGCAAATCAAGTAGGCCTATTACATTTCGTGATTCAATGTGACTGAGAGTTTGATCGTAAAATTGGGATGTTTTATACATCCTGAGAATTTTTCTCAGGACACTGGGACAAACTACCAAAAAAATGGGTCTGTCCCATAAAAACCAGTACATCTGGTCACTCTAAAGAAGTTGTAACATAGCTGTGATAAGCATAGTGTGGGGGTCTTTTAACAGATGAGAATCCATGAACCCAAAGTTCAGTGGCATAAGTCATCTTTGTGCTCCAGGCAACATTATCAATAAGAATATCCATCTGAAAACTAGGCCAAGGCCCACAGGGATGGGTTTACCAAGATAAGGCTTCCAGTCACATCTCCTATACAACCATCACATATCTCAAGCAGATGGAGAATAAAACAGGTATTCATGCTACTCTGTACAAACATTGGACATATGCATTATTTATGGATTTAAGTGGACTGTTCAAAAGGGCATGGAGAAATAATAATCCCCATACATTAGATGGATTATGTAAAGCAATCAAAGAAGAGCAGTGTGCTTAGGATTCAATCTCACTACAAAATATTTTCCAGTGAATTTTAAACTGCAGGGCTATGTCAAGATGCATGGTTATGAGAGCATGACCAGATATGGTGAAATGTACTTTAAGGTGGTGAGGCATACTTATACTCTGTACCTGGCAATGGCACTTCATTAGTAAGTACCTAACCTTTCAACAGACCCAGATGTATCACATGTAGCCACAGTAAAGTGTATTGTATGTTGAATAACCAAATCTTTTCATTTTACTAAAATAAACTTTTATGTGCACAACTCAGTTTTAAAGTAAGGTGGACATACAGACTACAACCTTACTAATTAACTAACAGGATGGCATTTTAATAGTGAAGAGCAGTGAGATGCAAGTTACACTCTCTCATATCAAAGAAACAAGCTTGAGTTTTTTTTTCTTGTCTGATGACTTAAGTTTTTCCATCTGTAAT